CGGTCTTGCGTTATCACAAAGCAAGTGGATAGTCCTCGGATCGAAGCCTTTTTGGGGGAGGACCAAGTGTTTACTGTGGAGATCAGCAGTAACCATTTCGCCTTTTTAGCACTTCAAAATGAAGTAATCCTTGGTTAATCCACCAAACACAGAGAAGAGCTTTCTTTCCATGTTGTTCTGGTTTCGATGTCGGTTTAGGAATCACTCCTGGACTCAGCCATTGACGTCTTCCAGATAAATTGTCGTATTGTGTATTGAAAGAAAAAGAGAATAATCTCCGTGGGATTACCATTAGTGAAAGAGATGGATTTATTAAGAGTAATCCCGGTGGGAGCGTTTTCAGGCCTGAAAGGGTTTTCAGCACTGAAAAGCATTGATTACTGTAAGACTTTCAGGTCTGAAAGGCTTTCAGGACTGAAAACGCTTTCAGGCCTGAAAACGCTTTCAGGCCTGAAAATGCTTTCAGTACTGAAAAGCTTTGATTAGTGTAAGGCTTTGTAATATTTCTTTCTCAGAGAAATATGAATTTGCGCCGCACAGGTGACCTTGTTCATTTTCTTCTTCTTTTTATATTCAAGTTCAAAGACTCAACGAAAACATGTCGCTATGATTTTTTTGATAAATTTTTAGTTTTGATTTAGTTGACTAAGCATCTTCATTGCCGAAATTACTTTAGTTATGCTATTAGTTATGCTTTTATTTACTAGAAAACATTGCGCTTTGCATTTTATTCAAGTTTTATGATGTGGTAAATAAACAAAATATTGTAACTATTTGTAAATCTCATTGTTAAAAATAAAAATTTGAATTAAAAATAAACATTGATTGTAGATTCGAACCCACCCAAAAAAGTACTGATTAATTCCGTTCAACGGTTCAAGGCTGATCTCAGACGGTTCAAGGCTGATCTCTCTAATCTCCATTGCCTTTGCTTTACTTTTTTGAATTGTTGGACAAAGAAATCCGTGCAAATCTGTGTTGCATCATTACAATCATTACAATCATTCAAATTCATACAACCATTTTCCTACTGACCCTATAATAATCCCCCTCATACGCGGATCTCATGATCCCGAATGTCAACACTTTGATCAGTCGATTCTCACCAACTAAACAATTCCTTGCCGCTAAATCTCGATGAATGAAACAATGAGATCAGGTATTCAATTCTGTAAAAGGTTGGCTACCTTTGAATATAAAATATTGGCTATATTGGCTATCTTTGGCTATAAAAAAGAACAGATGTTTTTGAAGTGGAGTGTCCTAGTGAAGATTTTTGAACCAGCTGCACAACGTTATGCTATTGCAAAATCGCTTAAAAAAATTGTCGAATCGCACTGGATTTGATTTGCTGGTTCACAAATTCTTAGTACAAGTACAGTGGAACCTCTCTATAACGTAACTCACGGGACGGCTATAGCTTACGTTATATAGAGGTTTACGTTATATAGAGTGCCGTTTTATATAGCTTAACGTCGGCCGGGACCGGTCACGCCCTACGTTATAGAGAGGTTTACGTTATATCGAGGTTCGTTATAGAGAGGTTCGACTGTACTTTCTGTTTTTGTGGATTTGTATTCAAAACTGAAGATATCTTTTTTAATGGCTACAAAAGGGATGTTTTTATACAACCCAGCACAGAAGCATAGGAACACAAAAGGATCGCGGGGTGCACGGGTGGCAATCAAGCATCAACGCATCATGAAGCTGAGGTTGAAATAAAGTTTGGCATTAAAACTATTTATTTTCCGCATGATCCAATCGATTGGGCTTGTATCAGAGCGGTTGATTTATGTAATAGAAATCGAGATTGTCCAAATGGTGAAGATGAGGAACCGAACATGTGCATGTTTGATTCTTTGGTTCGTTTTACTTTAATGCTAGAACTTTAAACGAATTTCTGTAATGGTAGTCCAGTTAAAAGCCTTTTCATCGAGCTTTCAAGCTTTTAAACTTTCAAAACAACACCCATAAAAATCTCAATTTTCAGAATCAATGATCATTTCAAATTGCAGCTGGACTTTTGTGATTCAGTGGTGTTACACCGTCGTCAAGCACCCTCCGAATTTGTGAAAATCAAGTCTGAGCCATATACGGGTGAGTTTTGAAGGTAAAACAACAGCGAATTAATGATCAATGATCAATGATTGACAGATTATCAACAAATATATAAAAAGCCTAACAAAATTATTAAAACCCTAGGGCTTAAGTTAGGCTAGGCTAAGACTCGGCTGCACCAGGAAGAGACAAGCCTCTCAAAGCAGGGCTGGATGGGTCAAGCTAGATTTAGGGCCTGGGTATTGTTTGCAGGTACGTGGCTCGTCGCAGGACCCGCAGTGCCGAATCCGGATTTCTACCGCGATCGCAGAAAGAAGGACATTCACAATATGAGTGAGTTCATTTCTCATTTCATTCATAATTATCAATGAAATCAGAAGTTTTTATTAGTTATTATACGAGGTTTTTCAGTTGAACGCCGTCGTCCCTATAATAGCAACGACCGAATCAAAGAATTAGGACTTAAGATGCCTAAAGGAGCCTCCGAGTGAGTTGAAATCTAATTTTCAAGAAAATACCACTAATAATTTACTTCCCGTTATCAGGCATTTTCTCTTTAGAGCCGAATTTAGAGAGATGAAGTTAAACAAGGGGACGATTCTCAAAGCATCTTGTGACTACATTCGACAATTGCAAAAGGATCGAGATGTAAGTGAAAAGAAAAAAACTTTCAGAGCATGATTAAACAACAGCAACAACAAAACAAATTGGAAAACGCTGCGAAACACTACGCCGATCGAGTCAGGGTGAGTGAGGGAAATGGCTGGGCTTGGCTTGGCTTGGCTTGGCTTGGCTTGGCTTGGCTTGGCTTGGCTTGGCTTGGCTTGGATTGGCTTCACCATTCAATTCAATGATTCTTCAGCTACAGTACTGGATGAAATATCATATTTGAAAAATGATCGTCACTTTTTTTTCTAGTCACTTTTTCTACTAGATGAGCAAGATGATCTTGGGGGCAAGATGATCTTAAAACCTAGAGTTTGCTTAGGCTTTTTGCCATTCAAATCTTGACTAAAATCGCATACGATATTAGTCAAGGAAATCGGCTTGACTCTCCAAAAACTTGCCCCGGGTTCTCGGACACTCTTCAAAAACCCGCCCCCGGGTTTTTGATTCTCCAAAAACCCGCCCCCGGGTTCTCGCTTTCGGCTTTCGGGCCTGAAAAGCTTTGATTACTGTAAGACTTTCAGGCCTGAAGTAAATCACTCTCTTTTACTAAAAGCTCCTTAACAACTTGCGCATGCGCAAGTTGTTCATAATTCAAAGATTTTTATGAAGAACTTGCGCATGCGCGAGTTGAACTAATTTTATCTAGGTTTTTATTGGTAAGTCTATAAAAAAATAAAACATTTCTAAAGTCAAATTTTGTGTAGATTCTAATAAATGCAACCGCTATTTGATTTACTGAGTTAAATTTACTGATTTAGTAAGGCTTCGGCTTTCGGACACTGTCGCAAAGCTTAAGAATTTCGGTAAAGGCTTTGGTTTTAGGACACTGTAAAAGTTCAATCGATGTAAGAGTTCAATCGACTTCTGCTTACTATCATTGGAAAAAAATCAAGAATACCTTACTGATTGATAGTTTCTATTTTCTAGAGCTTCCAGAGCTTCTATAGCTACTAGAGCCTCTAGAGCCTCTAGAGCTTTCAAAGCTTATCTAGAGCTTCCAGAGTGTTTCTATGCGCTTAGGTATCAAATTAAGGTAGAGAGAATAAGTGATTTTTTGAGATATAATACATCTTTTTAGCATTAACCAGCGCTTAGAAAAAAATTATTAAAAGATGATGATACTCAATAGCCCAGAAACAGTGTTGAGATTGATTTGTTTGAGTGTAATCTTGGACCGTGGTACCTGTGGAGTATTCGGGGTTCAATATATCATTGAAAAATATCAATACATTTCTCACAATGTTCCAAAGTAAATCTTCGTATCCGTTTGCTTCAACCGTTTCTTCAACCTTCAACCGTTTCAACCGTCTTCAAAAACCCGCCCCCGGGTTTTTGAAGAGTGTCCGAGTAAGATAATGTAAGATAATGACAAAAAAAAAATATAAAAAGAAATAAAATCGTTCCTGTTGATTGTGGACCCGAGAGAGAATGGCGGGAGAAAGGGAAGAAATGAAAGAAAAAAAAGAAAATCATTCGGTGGGAAAACAACCCGAGTTCGGGTCCCTGAGTGAGTCTGAGTCTTTTAAACTGAATGCTGAGCCATTCTATATCCCGTTTCCTTTCTTCACTTTGTCGAAATTTTTTTCGACACAAGTTGTACACATTTCAATGGGTTTCACCTTCAAAAAAGGGAAACACACCGGATTTACAAAGGGGGGTTTTTCAGTGATCAAATAGAAACGATATGAAGAAAGAAACGAAAATGGTACAAATATTTGAATGAAACTGGATAGACATATGTACAAGTCGTTTGTTGTATATCTGAAATAGCGAGTTCTTTATGAATAGTCCATATTGTGATTGGCGTGCATCGGCTGGGTGTTCCCGTAGGGGCTAAAAATCGAAGAATTGAGACTTTGAGGGAAAAATTGAAATATTAGATATCCTCTAAATATCCGAAATCTTCTAAATAGCTTGGCAAATGCTCCCCAAGTGCTCTGGAAACAACTTCTAAACATACTGTATAAACATACAAGAAATATTCAGCTACAGTATTTCGGACTACAGTACTCAAAGTTTACAATATTCCTAGCTATGGTATTCTTGGACTGTTGTGCTCTAGGGTTACAGTATCCTTGAGCTACAGTACTCTTGGGCTACAGTATCCTTGGACTTAAACGCTATTGACTGTATAGCCTATGGTAAGTGCCCGTTGAAGCTTCAGCATAATCTAAACAAGGCTTAATCAAGATTTTCGACTTCTAGGGAACAAAGTATCTCAAAGTAGAGCAAAGTATTTCTATATTGGATACAATATATCCCATTTTCTTTTCATCATACCTGAAATTCGATGGATCCCACGAGATATCGGGGCTCATCTGACTGGCGGCAAGGTTTGGCGAGGGGCTACCGGCTTGTGACATCAACGGGTCCGAGTGGAGGAGTGGATTGTTCTGTATGCAGAGCAATAGAAATTTCATATTTAAATGAGAATTTAGATATCAGGATTTAGATTTAAATAGAATGATATATTTTTTTTATCTATTATCTCAATTATACCTCAAGACACGACTCCATGATCAAATCGGGGAATGGCGCGTGGTGCATCCCTTTGTGGCTGTCGGGCGGTATCTGCAAATGTTAGAGCTATTTAGAAATACTATTAGAAACTAGATATTGAATACTTACTGACTATAAACTAAATGATTGAATGATTGTTACAGTATCCAGCTAATAGAAAAGGCAAGTATTTGATACAGTAATCTTCTACTGTTTTTCAATAAGCTACTTTGCTTCTACTTCTACAATAAGCTACTGTAGCTTCTACTCTGCAACCAAATTCGACCACTTTCTGCTTCTATTTGACACTAACTTTATCTGAATACTGTAAACAATATGGCCAAAAGATAGCCAATTGAAAATAGCTATTGAATGGGAAAAAATTTTTGGGAACCCGAATCGAAAAATATAAAACATAAATTTAGGGGACCTAGCACTAGTTGCTGATTTTTTAGTGCCCAATCGGGAGCCGATTCATTGTGTGTCTTCGGGAGGGGAGTCAAGAGAAGAGTTGAGCAATCGCTTTCAAGTGATCCGCATGGGGTTTGATTTGGACTCTCTTGGATCTCCTGTCTGAATGGTTGAGAAGCGGAGGGGATGGCTGGGAGTGGGGGAAGAACTTTGGTGGGCGCCCTGAGGCCATTCTTTGCCAAGATCTCCTCGAGTTCCTAGAATTGCGTAAAGAAATGTATATCCTTAATCTTTATTTACTCGCTTATAAGGATGATTTAACAGCTATCTACACTGATGAAATATGATATTTGAAAAAGATCGTCACTTTCGCGCGGCTGCAACTCCCTTGTCTTTACCACTAAATAATAATATTAACACTTGGTCAGCCTTGAAAAGACCTTTCAGAAAATGTATACACGCATAGTTGAAACTCAAAGTACTGTATCTGTAGAAAAGATTGAATAGGATAGGGAGCCAAGCCAAGTCATTTTCCTCACTCACCCTGACTCGATCGGCGTACTGTTTCGCAGCGCTTTCCAATTTGTTCTGTTGTTGCTGAAAGCTCTTCTTTGCATAGAAGCTTTTTTTCACTTACATATTGACCCTTTTCCAATTGTCGAATGTAGTCACAAGATGCTTTGAGAATCGTCCCTTTGTTCAGCTTCATCTCTCTAAATTCCACCTCCATTGTGGCGTCTGATAACCTTGTGGACTTGAGCCAAAGAATTGGTCGGACCTATGGTAAATCCGTCCTAGCGGGGAGGCAATCGCCATCGCAGATGTCGTGTCAGAGAGTTGTGAACTATGAACCCAGGTAAGGAAATATTTTCACTTTTAAACACGTTTTTTGCACTAATTTTAAAATTTTAATAGCGACAAGTACGAACTTGAAAAAGCAATTTATCAAAATCTTTACAACTTTTTATTGCTAAAACAACAATACTTGAATAACACAAATCATGAACACAAAGAAAAAACTATTTCTGAAATTTGCATATGCATTTAAGAGAATTCTTATCGATCAAAAATCATTTTTTATTCCGGCTACTTTCTGATTTGGACGTTTCTGCAAATCAATAATTTTCAACGCAAACGCAAACCATTTGCCGAGGCTAAGGGAAATTTTGTTATTTTTTCCTTATTCAGGTAGTGTATTATTGACAGCTTGGACTTGAGCGTCTGAGTTTATGTTGCGGGTTTCAAATTCTTTGGCTCAAGTCAATGGAGAAAGGTGGAGAAGTTATAGAAATATCAAACAAAACTTCTGTAGCTGTAAAGAAACAATGAATAGAATAGGGAAGCCAGTCTAAGCCAAGCAATTTCCCTCACTCGCCCTGACTCGATCGGCGTACTGTTTGAAGCATAAAAGTTGAGATCATTCTCAAAGAGCTTCCCAGCCATCAAACAAAGATTTTCTGTGCACTGATTCGATCTGAGAGCCACAAGAAAACCCAACTTGAGGTGGCTGATTGCTTTTGTTTTGCGGCCACTTTTTCGATACCTCGATAATATTTTAACTATTACCAAACTCTAATGCTTGATGTAGAGTTGTTTTGGTTGCAAAACGCTTTTGGGCTTCTACTTTCCTCAAAAAAGAACTTTTTGCAGCAATTTTTTTGGCAGAATCGTTTAGAATAATCTTTTTCAAAGTTTACCAAAAAGCTGCTCTTTTCACATATTCAACTTTTATTCAAAAGATCAAATTCAAAGTTTTCACAATTTACTTGACTAAATTTTCAATTAGTGACTAAATTAAAAAACGTTATTAGAATGAAAAAATCTTTTCAATTTGATTTATTTAAAACATGTCATTTTCCAGGCCGACCTCGAGTGGACCAACTTTCAAAAGTGAAGGCGGCGCTTTTTCGAGTAGTTGAAAATTTCAAGTAATTGAAGATTAAGTTGAATTTTAAATTGAAGCAATATCAATTTGAGAACGCTAAAAGCTGCTCTTCTAATCGTTCTTACAAGATTTTTAAACGCTTTTTTCCAGGAGCTCCCATTTCATGAAGCCATCAAAATCACTCAAAAATTGGATCAATTTGTGGTTAGTTTTGGGAGAAAAATGCTTGTTAAAATGCTGAACCCTAAAACCCATATAAAGTGCCTTTTTTGAATGCGTAAAGCGAAAGGAGCGATGAGAGACCGAAGCCCATTTTGGCGACCAAATTTTTGGAATCAGGAACATTAAAATTTCGCAAATCGCCTACACCTTTACTACTGTAGATGTAGGTTACTACTGTAGATGTAGGATAGAAGCAATAGAAAACAGCAATAGAACAAACTGTAGATGTTCAATCCTTTTTGAGGAGTGAGGGCAATAGGGAAAGGGGACTCACTTCAGAGAAGTACTGAGTTTTTTCTTTTCTGGAATGGAATCATCCAGCGTTAATGTAGTGGGCGTAAGAGCGCCTAATGACATTTTCCTAAATATTAACATCAACTTGGCTGCTAGGCTATAGCAATGCTATCTTCCACAACTTGGATCAGGTACTAAGAAGAATTTACTTTTGTCTCGTTGATAGTCCCTACTTATTTCCTACAGTCTTTCAAAGCTGCCGGAAAGCTATTTCAAAGTCTTGTTCACAGTTGACATCTAGCGTCTATTGCTGTGTAAGGAAATATTATGTGCGCGCTTGGTACTCTTGACTCAAGACACGCTATTTCTTCTTCATCTTCTCTACAAAGAATTGTGAAATGTTTTTTGGATCTTTTGACTTCCAGGGGTCTGCCCCACGTTCTAGTTGGCTGTCATCGGCCACCACTCTAAAGTCTCCGAAAAATCTGCTTATAAACTCAAGGGATATTTTTAAAACCCCATACAAAACTTTGGATACTCATAACTTTTGGCAGAGTGCTATTTAGCAGATCCGGATTCAGCGTAAAATTCTGCGTTGATAGGTCTATGGCTCAAGTCATTTGACCAGCCTATCTAGTTCACCTTTTCGTATTACTATCGAAAACTACCTCTGGTAGTTAAAAAAGCAAAGGGATTGGCGGACAAATTTGAAAAATTAAAATGATCTCGGGCGGGGTCGAACCGCCGACCTTGTGTATGTTAGACAGATGTGATAACCACTACACGAGACCTCTGGTCTGGAGCTAAAAATAGGAACTATTCAACTCATTCTGCCATTTTTCCACAAAACTACCTTTTTTAAGATCAGTTTTTGACAGAAGTGGCCCCTTTTAGCCCTGTCAATTTCCGAGCGGCTACTGCGGTCTCGTGGTGTAGTGGTTATCTCATTAAGCGGGCTTTGAGTTGAAGAAGTTGACCACCCAATTGTTGATCTCATCGATGTCTTTGAGCTGTTCTTCTCGCAGAGAATGTTCCATAGTCCGAAATAAGTGATAATCTGGGGGAGCCATATCGGGACTATACGGGGCATGAGGAAGCACTTGCCACTCTAACTCTTCGAGTTTTTCCTGAGCCTTCCTTGCCACATGCGGTCTTGCGTTATCGCAAAGCAAGTGGATAGTCCTCTGACGATAATCTCTAAAAACGAATCAATTTTTGTGAGTTGATTTGCTACACTTAATTTAATCTTTAATTATTTTCATTTTTAGAGATGGGAAGATGAAAACAACGCACACCGGAAGCATATCTCGACCCAACATGCTGGTCATAAATATTTGGCAAAAAGATTCGAAGACACAGGACGCATCCCTAATCAGTTTGCTTCAAAAAATTTCCACGTGATCACTTGTCCCTCTCAGCTCACGTTTTTGATCGTTTGAATTCGATTTTTTGTTTTAGGTTGTTATCATTCCAGCTTCCATATAAATAGTATTCGGACTGACAAGGATTTCGATCTGCCATCAGTTCACAGCTTCTAACAGATACGTCTTCTCTCCTCTTGTCTTGCTCTTCTCTTCGTCGTTCTTTCTCTTAAAGCTCCTTTATCCCTATTTAGCTTTTAGAAAGCTCCTTTAAAGCTCCTTCTTTATCGTCCTTATTTAGTTCCTAGCTCTAACTAGCTCTGACACAAGAAATGCGTCTGCTCTCCTCTTGTCTCGCTCTTCTCTTCGCCGTTCTTCTCGTCTTCAGTGGGTTCAAGTTTAAATAAATTAATCTTCTCAAAGTTTTATTTAATTAGCGCATTTCGCAGCCTATAAATTGCTTTAAGTTTTTGGCTTATTGGAAAGATGGCCCAAATGGCTTCGAAGCTCAAAAGAAATCAAAGATTTTAGCTTCTTCTGCCATGGTCAACGCTGTTGCCGTCCCGGCATGCGACTCCTCTTGCCCGGTGAGTTAAATTCTCAATCAAAATATATTCTGAATGTTGCTACAAACACCGTTAAACAAGGCGGATAAAGGCTTAGTTTAAAAAATTAGTTTTGTCGTCACAATTTATTTATATTAGTTTTAGAGTGGTGTCGTCGCTTGCTGCGTTTCAAAAGACTTTAATGGTGGTTCCTGCATTGGTGGAGCCGCCTTCTGCAACTAAAAACCAGAATATCTTTCAATGTTGTGTGCAATCATTTTGTTTTCTTATATAAACTGAATCGAATGGTTTTTGCACGAAAACAAGAAATTTTTCAAATAAAATTTTTGGTGTCCAGCTATAGTTCTTCGTCCTGGGTTTCGTTACACTTTGGAGCTTTGATGGGAGCTGAGTTATGCTTTATGCTTCTGTGCTGGGTTGTATAAAAAATCCCTTTTGTAAACAAAAAAGATGTTTTAATCTTCAGTTTTGAATACAAATCCACAAAAACAGCAAGCGATTTTGCAATAGCATAACGTTGTGCAGCTGGTTCAAAGGTCGTCACTAGGACACTCCACTTCAAAAACATCTGTTCTTTTTTTATGGCCAAAAGTTAGCCAATCTTTTACAGAATTGAATACCTGATCTCTCATTGTTTCATTCATCGAGATTTAGCGGCAAGGAAGGTTTGGTTGGTGAGAATCGACTGATCAAAGTGTTGACATTCGTGATCATGAGATCCGCGTATGAGGGGGATTATTATCCGGTCAGTAGGAAAATGGTTGTATGAATTTGAATGATTGTAATGATTATAATTATTATAATAATTGTAATGATGGTAATGATTGAAATTATGGTAATGATTTGCACAGATTTGCACGGATTTCTTTGTCCAGCAGTGAAGATGCTTAGTCAACTAAATCAAAACTAAAAATTTATCAAAAAATCATAGCGACATGTTTTCGTTGAGTCTTTGAACTTGAATATAAAAAGAAGAAGAAAATGAACAAGGTCACTTTGTCCAGCAGTGAAGATGCTTAGTCAACTAAATCAAAACTAAAAATTTATCAAAAATCCCATGGCGACATGTTTTTCGTTGAGTCTTTTGAACTTGAATATAAAAGAAGAAGAAAATGAACAAGGTCACTTTTGTCCAGCAGTGAAGATGCTTAGTCCAACTAAATCAAAACTAAAAATTTATCAAAAAATCATAGCGACATGTTTTCGTTGAGTCTTTGAACTTGAATATAAAAAGAAGAAGAAAATGAACAAGGTCACTTTGTCCAGCAGTGAAGATGCTTAGTCAACTAAATCAAAACTAAAAATTTATCAAAAAATCATAGCGACATGTTTTCGTTGAGTCTTTGAACTTGAATATAAAAAGAAGAAGAAAATGAACAAGGTCACTTTGTCCAGCAGTGAAGATGCTTAGTCAACTAAATCAAAACTAAAATTTATCAAA